CTTAGCAAAGCGCATCCCAGGCTGCATAGCCGCACTACCCTACCCAACCATACCACACATAAACATGACACTACCCCCGGGGTTTACACAGACGAGCCGGCGAAGCAAGAAGAGCGCCAGAAGAAAGGGCCCTAGCCGGCGGGGCCCAGCCAGGACAAAAGGAGGTCCCACAAAGCGCCTACACCGGCCGCATTTGCGGTCGGGGTAGACGACGGATGGGGCCCACCTACGAAGGCTGTCCAGGCCTACACGAGATGAGGCAGGATAAAGAGGGATAATCCCCCTTGATCCCAAATCATTGAGGCCAATTTCTAGCCATAGAATAATGGCGCGGCGCGGCGCGGTCGTCAGCTGGACGCAGAAGCCCTGAAGACGCTTTGTTGCGTCAATCAGGGCCGCCGCGCCCGGTTGGGAGGGTGTCGTGTCTGTGTGTGCGTGTGGTGAGGTGTTGTGTTTTTGTTTTTGTGTGTTTTATGTTTTTCTGGTCATGTCAGCGTATGTGCGCCCTGGGGTTGTGTTTGGGGAGGGTAGGTATTGTCACTTTTGTTGTACCACTCTCCCTTTAACATAAAATAATAAATTTAATCAGTTATGATTAAGGTTAATTAACAGATATTTTAAGTCTAAAATGTTACCTTTATATACAAACTGAACCTTTACATTGGAATTTGGAAATAAAAGGATGAAATGTGAAATTGTTTTAAATACACATCACGATCGGTCACCATTTTTGACGTTTGGTTACATAATTAACCTAAAATTTGTGTTAATTTTATTACGGATATCTATTAATATCCATAAACTCTAATAAAATGAAGAGGGGAAGTGAATATATAAACAATTTAGACCTATCTTAATATTCTCTTGGCTCCAAAATAAAAACGGTGTACAGTTTATATGATGTTATTGTATCTGCTTTTGTCTTCAGTTAAATTTCAAATAACTTACCAAAGTACTTTATGCAACATAATTTATTTTTGTACATACCAACTACAGTTGATGTTCCGAATTAAAAAATTCCTAAATTTTTACAAGTAATGTTCAGGGGAAATCCTGAGAGTGGACGGGCGACGTACCAGAATTGCTTTGATAAAAAGGGCCGGCTCCGTCACCTACGACATAGTCGGCTAAGGGGTTTTCGCTTACCATGGCACCCGAACGCGATGCGCATTGCTCCCGCTGGATACCATTTCGTGAAAAAGCTGAATNTTACAGCGGAGTAAGAACAGTTTGTTACAATACTATATGGAAAGAGAAAGCTTCACAGCTATGAGAGTTCAAATTCGGGACGTGCGCACACACTGAGTGGGGTGGAAAGGGAATCTTGGATTTGGATGCGGAATTTTCGGTGGTGTAGGTAGGATTTTATGAGTTTGGTAAAGGATATGGGATATTGGTTGGTAAGCATTTTCATAAGTAGGCCTTCATGCCAAACCGTATCGAAAGCCTTTGCGACGTCCAGGAAGACAGCACCAGTGTACTGTCCCCTGTTGAAGGCCGCCGTGATGTGCTCGGTAAAGCGAATGATTTGGAGGTCAGTGGAGTGATTGGGTCGGAAGGCGAACTGCTCGTCTGGAATGACTTGCAGTTCTTGGGAGTGGGTTCTTAGACGAGTTATTGTCGGGTCCGGGGGCTTTTCTGTTTTTAAGTCTACGTATTGTCAGTCTCAGTTCGTCAGGAGTTGCGGGGGGGATTACGTCATTGTCTAGCTCACTGTCGACGCGTCGGGCCGCGCGCTCAGCCACTATCTCGAATTCCTCGTCTTCGTCGGGCAGCTGACGCAGTCTACACTGCAGTTCCAGGCTATCGGTGAAAGCCTCGGCCTTTTCCTGGTTCGTGTAAACCACCCCCACACTACCGTGGATTGGAGGAATTTTACGGCGAGCGGTCTGTCGCAGGGCCCTCTGCGTTTTCCAGAGGCTGTTGTCTTGTGGATCCAGCGACTCCAGGTGCCTAGCCCAGTTATCCTGGGCCAGTTCATCCAGAGCCGCCTTCACCCGTCTGTTAAGTACGTTTAAGTCATGTCTGT